TGATTCCCAAAATGTTAGTGAGACAGCTTCACCTCCCACCCAGACCCTGCCTCCAAAGTCTCACTCTCCACAGTGGGACAGGGGGTTGGAAAATGGCCAATACCCTTTGCTTGCTCCCTGATGCAGCCACACGCTCCAGTGAATGAGCCGCCAGCCAAGTCTTAGCACAGACAGTACCACGGATTCCCCTGAGCACAGCTGGTACAGTTTCCATCAGGAACTCCCTAAGCTTAAGGTACAAATGTACCAAATTTTGTAAGTTTTAAAAGTAAAACTTTAAAAGTCAGTGGACAAGCATTTGTCACCCACAGGATTGTGGAGAGGGTATTTATTCTTTCTGGAAAATATTTATGAGCATGTGATGTGTCAGGCACCAGGGACACAGCATGACTTAAGCATAGTCCTTCAAGTTGTTACAAGCAGGACTGCAGGCTACATAACTTGTAGGATCCAGTGCAAAGTGAAATATGGAGCCTATTAACAACTCTTCAGCTATGACGAATTTCAAGTCTCTGAAAGTAGAGCCTTAAGCCAAGACAGGGTCCTTCAAAGAGCAGGAGGGGGGTTGTAAAGGGCTGGGAGCTGCAGAGGGTTGGGCCCATGAAGTCAGCTCACCTCCAAGGTCAAGTGTAAATGTTCCAGTCTGTGCACAGCTTTGGGAGAACTGGGCCCTGAGCATCAGGGGCTTCCCCCTGACATATTTATACTGTATCTCACTTTGATCTGAGTAAATCTCCCTTGCCTTTTATTACTCAAACACCTGTCTACAACACAGCCCAATAATCACTCTTGTGTAAATACCCTGGACTATAAACTTGATGTTTGGATCACCATCTCAACCCCACTGCATGCATTCAGTAGCACATAGTCAGCAGTACGCACGCAACATGCACTTGTTAAATCTCAATATTTGATTCTAAAGTAAAACCTGGATAGGATAAGGATGACTTTGGAAACTGATCTATTACTAGGATAAGAATGATAATGTCAACTATGATTTACACCAATTATGTAGTAGGCACTGAGTTAGTAGTGCTTAACAGAAATTTTTTAATTAATTCTCACAAATAAACCTATAGAGTAACTGGTGTTGTTCCTATTTTAAGCATGAAAAATTGAGGTTCAGAGATGAGGAACTTGCTCAAGGTCACACAGCAGTCAATTATGGAGAGAGGTTTAAACCCAGCTTCAAAGTCCCTGAAATTCCCATAAGGTGCGAGACCCTATCTCAGTCCTGTCCTCCCACCACATCTTCTAGGCTTCCCAAAAGCAGATGAAAATAACTATTCTCAAAATCAAAGAGCACAAGTTTTCTATCTTGATGTCATTTGGAAATAGGTATTATTGCTTCTGCTCACAGAATAAGAAATATCTGGGAAGGTAGCAGTTCAGTGTGTGATGATGTCGATTGATGAAATGGATTTACTCTAAATCCAAATTGCTTTCATTACCATTCATTGAGCAACTGCTAAGTATTAGACACTTGCTAGATGCTGCAGGGGATATCGGACAGAGAGCTGCCTTCAAAGAAAAGCTCAAGACCAGCACACAAATGAACAGAACAGAGGACAGAGTGTCCATATCAACACCCAAAGAAAGAGTGTTTGCCTAGAACGACAAAGGAGGCTTTTGGAAGAAGGTGGCATTTAGGGTTGGCCAATGATGATGGGCAGGATTCTGACGGGAGAAGGGGATGGAGGCCATCCAGGAAGGAGAGGGCGAGGTGGCATGGTGTGTGTTTGGAGAACACGTGTGTTTCAGTCAGACTGAGCAGAGGCTCGGTGCTGCGGAGCATGAAAAGCTGAGAAAGTCAAGTCAGGACTATGTCAGGATGGGCTCCAGAGCAATCCTGAGGCTCAGTCCTCCATTCAACAAGGGGCGTCTCCAATCAGTTTTAACCAGGAGACAGACATGATTAAAAGTGGGCTAAGAGACTGATGCTGGCAGCCCCAGGAGGGAGGGCTGTGGGTCCAGGGCAGGAAGAAAGAACTGAGGTCAATCCAGGTGAGAGACGGTGATAGCCTGAATCTGGGTGGGCTGAGGGCATGATTTAGAGGCTCATGAATATTTTCTCATTAAAAAAATCTGTGTAATGGAAATCACATATATGTAAAACACCCTTTTGTTCTATGGAGTTTCTGGAAATGAGACAAATTCAAGATACCATCACTATTTTTCAGCCTAAGGATGTTTGCCTACAATTCTCGTTGGCTCTCCTTGATTCCCCTGCAGCAATCTGGACTGTCAAGAAAACAGCCATTGCACAAGCAGGCCAGCCACACCCCCCCCCTCCCCCATTAAACCTCTGTACTTATATGGCTTCTTCTGGAACATTCCACCCTGCTTGGGCAACTGGGCAGTTGAAAATATGCAAGTGTTTTAAGTTAGAGATCATTTACAGTGGGCTGAAGATCAGCTTGACTAAACCTGTAAGTCAAGCTGCTCTAGAAATTTCAGACTCTCCAGACCCCACAACAAGCCCATCAGGGTAACTCTAGGCAGGGACAAATTTCTTAAGCCCCAAGGTCTCAGGAAGGCACAGGAAGGAAGCTTTTCTCAGCCTCCCGCAGGGCTCACTGGAACTAAGGGAAGATGATGCACACGGCTTTGGGGCCAAGGAGGCGTAAAGGCAGAGAAAAATAGGACCCATCAGTACAGCCAAAAGTAATTAAAATAATGTTTTGTTTGTGAAATGCTAGCAGATTGGAAAACACCACTGGCGTCAGGAGAGCATGCGGAGCCCAGGACGCTGTAATTTTCACCCTGCCTAATCTGCTAATGCCTTCTGGAGCTATGGCGACCACAGCAGTGTCTGCAGCGGAAAAAGGCAGAGCAGCTCATCTATTACCTCCAAGAACAGAAAACGCAGTAAATTCAGGAGAAGCCATACTTCAAAATGTCAACCCTTACTTAAGGCTGCATAATGCTTTCAGGGAGAGACACAGAAAAGCCGCCACCGGATGCTGGCTGGGGGCGACTGACAGAGGCCATTTGGATCAACAGATGCTCGCGTGGCCCAGCTCTTCAGCCAACCTGCAGAGCCCGTCTGCTTTGTGGTGCAGGAAAAGGAGACCCGGGCGGCTGGAGATGGAGATGGCGTGGTCCATTGGGAATGAAGGGGACCTTTTCCCTTCGCCTGAGCAGTCTTCTGGGAAGGAAAGCAGGGCTCCTGCCTTAGCCTTAGGGGATATTACTGGAGGAACAGTCCCACCCTTCTTTCTAGACTCCCTGAGGAAAACAAGGAGGGGCACCTGGAAGGTCCTTTCTGCCCACTCATGGGGGATGCCATTCTTCTCCCTGCTGCTCTGCCACATCCCTCGGGGGAGTGTGCCACTGCGGCTTGCCCTGTGACCAGCGCGTGATTTCAGGTGGGTGGAGAGAGGGAGAGAAGACACTGTCTTTCTCAGACCCGCATCAAGTCTTCAAACCAAGCTTCCCAGCAAAATGCCACACCTGTGAGCTTCGATTCTTATATATTATCTCTCCATGGGTTCAAATCCAGAGGAGGAGAGAAACAGGATTCACTAGCACCCTCAGATCCCAGTGTGGTGGGGGAATCCATGAAGTGCAGCGTATAAGCATTAGTGACACTGTCCTTGTTTCCCCAGCCTGGTGTTGGTGTGAAAGAATAAGATTAGAGGTGTGCAAGCGAGGCTATGCAGTCTAGCAGGCTGGGGGGCTTAGAAGGCCTGGACCCTGCATTAGGAATGCTCTGTGGCCTTAGTCAGGGCCATTCTGCTCTGGAGAAAACATGGTCCCCTCCTCTGAGTGGGAGGCGGTGCTTTGGCCCCCTAAGCTCTCCCAGGTGCTGTGAGCACAGCCCAGGCCTGTCTGTCCCGTCTGCTACTCTGGGCCTCCCTGAGACAGGTGCTTTCAGGGCCTGAGCAGCCCTGTCCCTTCTCCCAGGAGTGACGTGGTGCACCTGTGCCTTCTGTTTCTTTCCGCTTTGCTGAGCTGGCATGGTCCTGTCTAGTCACCCTCCTGTGCACAGACGCCTCACAGCAGAAACTTTGGCTCTTGTGGCAACACAGAGTTAAAGGGGCCTCTGAGGGAGTTATTTTGAATTTGGAAGCAAAAATTCACCAGACCTCCTACCTCTCCCCTTATAGGGTTTCTGGTCCTTTCCTTCCATGACGTGCCAATTTAAGATATGGGTAAAGGGTGAAATTAAGAGACATTTGAAAGCTGTCTCAGTGGGGGTGACCTGTATAAATCATAGCTTAAGGAAAGCAATCCTTCCCACTGGGGATCACCTACTTTCTGTGTGGCCTGTTGATTTTAAGTGCATTTAAAAAATAATCAAGGGACGTGGCTTTGTGGTGATTAAATTACTTCCAGTGCCTGGGGGCCCTTAGGCTCGGAGGGGGAACCCTGGAACCCATTATAGAGAAGAGAGGGAAAGACACAGACTTTGGGGTTGTACAGACCTGGACTCAAATCCAAATCTACCACTTACTAATTCCACAAGTTAATCTTTTTGAAAGTTTTATCTATAAAATGGGGATAATAATCTCTATTCCTCAGATTGTTTATGGTTAGAATTAAATAAAGTATGCATTCAATAGCTATTGATTTCTACCATTGCTTTCATAAAAAATTCTATCCCTTCTCTTTGTTAATAGCTAATAATTGTAAGTGCTAATTACATGCTAGGTTGCTAAGCAACAGTGACTCCAGAATTTCTATATATCAGATTTTAAGAGCGGGTAGGGGTTTGTCTTTCAACTGCATTTACATATTCTTTAACAACATCTTGAGAAACACAGGGGCATTGCCCTTATGTTGATGGTGTTCATTTTGGGTTGCTTCATGAGGGGAGACATTGGAAAGGGAAGACATTGGAAAGTTTTAAGATCTAAAACTTCAGGCAGATATCACCTTAATCTCCCAACAACTTTAAAGTAGGGATTTATAATTGTGTAAGTTTGGGTTAACAATAGCTGTTTTAACAAATCCCCAAATCTCTGTTTTCACATAGCAAAAAGTTGATTTTTACTTACTTCAGTTCATTCTGAGTCACGTCGGGTGGGCAAACTCCATGTAATGTGGAAAAATAGGTTTCTTCCATCTACGCTTCTGCCTTCTAGGACTTCAAAATTCTTTTCTTTCAGCTGCAGGTTGGGGAAAGAATGAATGAGGGAGTTACACCCACTTTTTTTTTAAATAATAAATTTTATTTTTATATTCCCCATACAACTGCAACCCCCCCATTCTGACCCCAATCCCTCCCCTCCCGCCCCCCACCCCCCATAGAGTGTCTCTGGTTCATAGTTGTTTGTTGATTTTGATTTTTTCTTTCTTATAGTTATTCATTTTCCTGGTCCCTTATTTAAGTTTTCTAGATTCCTGCTATGAGTGAGACCATCCAGTATTTTTCTTTTTCTTTCTGGCTTATTTCGCTGAGCATGATCCCTTCCAGTGTCATCCATGTTGCTGCAAATTGCATGTGTTTATCTTTTTTGAATGCTGAGTAATATTCCATGGTATATATGTACCACATCTTCTTGATCCAGTCATCTATTTTTGGGCATTTGGGCTGTTTCCAAAGCTTAGCTATTGTAAACAGTGCTGCTATAAACATAGGGGTGCAGGTGCTCTTTGGAATTGATGTTTCTGTGTCCTTTGGGTAAATACCTCGGAGTGGAATTGCTGGATCCTATGGAAGCTCTATGTTTAGTAGGTCCAGAAATCTCCACACAGCTCTCCATAGTGGTTGGACCAGTTTGCACTCCCACCAACAGTGCAGAAGAGTTCCTTTTTCTCCACAACCTCACCAACATTTGTTGTTGCTAGTTTTTTTAATATGTGCCATTCTCACTGGTGTAAACACCCATTTTTTTTTTTAAGGAGAGATAAAAGCTTTTTATTTTGTCTATAAATGTGTACCTATTCACATACTTTGTAATTACATCATCTCTGAAAATGGTAGTGTATATGTCAGAGGCACTGGGGTCCTTTCAGATTCCCCTGAAATGTTATATAACATGATAGCCCAACTGATTTCACCCTTCATGAGGAGTTGTTTTTTTTTTTCTTTTCACTATCATTGATTTGTTAATTAATTTACTTACATCGCTGTTAATTTTTTTATTATGATTTTTAAAAATTCATTTATTTATAAAGATTTATTTATTTATGCATACAAGACCTGGGCTACAGGCCAGAGGTGCGGGGGGTGAGAGGATTCACCAGAGATAAGAGTGGGGAACAGAACAGGCAGGTCGATTGAAATACATTGCTGAGGGGAGCAGCAGGCAAATCAGGAGAGGTCTGCTGCACCACGTGGGTAGCTCCCTGGCAGGCCGGGGATTGAACTCATGCTGTAGAGGCTGCAGATTGCTTCACAGTGCGGTGCTTAACCCCCTGTGCCACCAGGGAGGCCCCATTTTTTCCATTTTATATATTTTTTACATCATTTTTCATTTTTGCACAGTGTATGCATTTTCATCTTGCATTGTTGTTAATTTTTGTACTTACATATGGAATATAGAGAAACCAAACAAAGGGTCGGGGTGGGGGAAAACAAAACTTGTAGGCTGACCACAGACCTAAGGCATCCAGCAGGGGAGCAGGAGGGACAGGGGTCAAAACAGGAGGGAAGAGCACAAGGGACGGTGGGGAGATAGTTCAGGGGTGCCGGGGTGGTGGGAGAACTTGTGGGGCCACACCTGAGAAATCAAATACTGCACATGCACTTCTTGGACAACCTTGACAGAGACAGTCCCTTTTACTCGCATTCCATGGGTGGCCGAGAGGGCCTGGTGGTGCAGGTGCTGACTGTACCTACACTGCAAAGGGTCAGCTGCTTCAGCGACAAGAATTGTCCTTATTTACAGCAGAGAAAGTGAGGCTTAGGTTGCTCAACTAGGTAGTCCAAAGGCAGAATCAACAGGGGGTTGACTGTGGACTTTGCCTTTTAAATGGTGATGCCGTGACTTGACCGTGGCCACTGATTATGGGAAAGGACAAGAAGAACGTTTCCCTCACTCTTCTTTCTCCGTCTGTGGCATGTTCAGGATGCAGCTCTTGGGCACCACATTTTCATTTGGCCAGGTTGCCGCTGAAATCCCAGGATGCAGGAAAACAGGACCGCAGAGTTCCATAGTCTGTTATAAAGGTGCCTCATTAGGGCCTCCCTGGTGGCGCAAGGGGTTAAGACGCAACCTATGAAGCTCACCACAGCCACTAGAGCACAAGTTTGATCCCCGGCCAGGGAGTAAGCCACATGGTGCAGCAGACCTCTCCTGACTCTCCTGCTGCTCCCCTCAGCAGTGTATTTCAGTCATTCTGTCTGTTCTGTTCCCCACTCTGTCTCTGGTGAATCCTCTCACCCCCCAAAACTCTGGCCTGTGCCCCAGTTCTTGTATGTATAAATAAATCTTTAAAAAAAAAAAGGTGTCTCATTACCCCATCTCTTGGTAGCAGCATTTATTGCAACGTTGGCAGACAGGCGCGTTGATTCTATTTTAACTGTCTCTACAGAAGTACTATGACAGATTTTAGAGGCACTTTTTTTCCTTTGCAAGATTACTGGTTTATTACAAGAGGGTGTAACTCAGGAATGGTTGCTGGAAGAGATGCTCAGAACAAGACAGGTGGGCAGGGAAGCAGAACTCCATGCCTCTTTGGATGCTTCACTCCCTCGTGTTCACCATCTCAGAAGCTAGAACTCAGTCCTTTGGTTCTTTAAGGAATGTTCTGGACATAGGCATGACTGACTGAATCATTGGTCACTGAACTCAAACTCCAGGCCTTCTCCCTTCCCTGGAGGTCAGGGGTGGAGTGGGTCTATAAGTTCCAATCCTGTGACAAATAATTGCTTCACCCAACCAGCCCCTCTCTTTGCTGCTTTCCTAACGTCATCTCATTCACATCTCAGAAAACACCCTTACTCTGTTTCTTTCAACTTTGGAAATTTCTAGGGATTTGGGAGTTTTGTACCAGGAGCAGGATGAAGACCAATTATATACATAAATATATTTAATTATAGATCAATATCACAGTACCCAGCTAGGAAGCTCTTATTTTCTTAGTCATGATTCTCTGTCTTTGGAAGTTATAGGAAACAGATGACACTTTTTGTAACTACCTGGTAATTTGAAAACCTTTAAATGTCTGTTTTACTCCCATTTTCTATTTTAAGTTAAATGATTCTAGCTCTGCTAGCCACTGTTCATGGTTTCATTTTTAAAGTCAACACCACTGCCGGGAACCTGGGAGTCTAGAATTGAAACCATTCAGCAGCAATGGAATAACAGAAGGATTATTCCACAGCGCAGCGCTACTGCGACTAACTATAACAACGAGGAATAGTCTCACTGTCTCAAAGGACTTTGTCTTTGTATGTTATTTTGCTATAATAACTCTGTTGGAGAAAGTTCTATTTTTAATTTTTCATGAAAAAGTCTTGTGTAAATAGAGATGACATCAGGTTACTTAAGTTCATGGATCAGATAAAGCTAGCGTAGCAAGGACTAGAAAGAGGGTTTCTGATCTCCAGGCCTAGGTGCACTATGTGATTTTGGTTCCTGCCCTGATTTATGACTCTCTTGTATGCATCATTCTCTGATGCTCTATCAGTGAGAAACTGTATTTGGTTGACAGTCTTCTAAGAGAGGTCCCCCAAGATAATGATTTGAATACCCAAGGCTTTATTCCTTCACACACAAGAGTTCTGAAAGGAAAGCAGCCCGATGTGGCAGGTGGTTTCACAAAGTCATCAGAAAACTGGAATCAAGGTCATCCTCACCAGAGGGGCACCTTCCAATCTATTAAAGGCTGAGATAGAACAAAAAGGCTGAGGAAAGGTGAATGTGCTCTCTACCCAAACTGGGACATGTCTTTACTGCTCTTGAGCACTGGTGCTCCTGGTTCTCAGGCCTGTGGGCTGGCCAGGGATGTATACCGCTCGCCTCCTGGTTCTCTGGCCATCAGGTTTAGGCTGGAAATGTCTCACCAGCTTTCCTGGTTCTCCAGATTGCAGAGGGCAGATTCATGGGATTTCTCAGCCTTCATAATCACTAGTGCCCATCCCTCAAAGTCTCAGTCTTCTGGAGAGATGATAGATTGATAAGTAGACAGATGGTACCATATACATCTATTGGTTTCATTCCTCTCGAGAATCATGAGTAATATACCAACCTACCACTCATTTGCTTAATAACTGTGATTTGAACACTATTATATTTTAGGCAAATGAAAGCAACATCATTACTGAGCAAGACAGACATGGTTCCTTCCCTCCCAAAACTGCATAAACAGCTAAATTAGCAGGAATTGTGACACCTAAATACCCTCGCTCAGAAGACAAATTAGTACTAGCACCCCCTCACCCTCTGAGCATCTGAGCAAGTGTTATCTTGTTCTCCTTGTCAGTTTCTCAGTAGACGTACTAGCACTTCACATCTTAACCCTGTGTTTAGAAATATAAAACTGAATTTGTGGAAGATGTGGTGCTAAAATAGCACTTTTAAAAAAAGTATTTGCATAACTGAAAAAAAATCAGAAGACCTGAGTTCCTGTCTTTTCTTTGCACTTAATAGCTGTGCCAACTGAAGCAGGGTACTGGCCTCTCTGAGCCTCAGCCCTTCTCTCAGCAGTTAAAACATGCAAGAGTGTTGTGGCCTGGAGTTGCCTCTATAAATGGTCAGCTTTCTTACTATGACTTTATGTCTTCTAAAGCCACAGGAACCATGTGGACATGCAAGATGATAATAGGGGGCATTGTGTGTGAAGGGTGGATGTGGCGGTTCTGGGACCTCTTTGTGCTTTTTGCTCAATTTTCTGTAACCCTAAAGTACTATAAAAAATGAAATAAAGTCTACTTGTTAAAAAAGAAATCAAAAGTTTCTTTAGCGTCACCAATTTGTTAAATTTACAATCTACCTTCAAAAAGGGATATTTTATTGACTAAATGGGATGTGTTTACCCGGTCAACTGAAGAGAAGATTTTATTCAGAGTTTTGGCCCAGGGATTCTGAATAATCATAAATCATACATCACTGGGGTCAGGTGAGTACGGTTTCCTACACTTGCCAACAGAAAGCATCCACCTCTTGTGAGATGAAAATATATCAGGTGTCAGTTTCCGCCAATATCACAACTTCACTGT